TACGCGAGAACCCGAACATTGTGACCATTGTATGACGACCAGAGTTTACCATCGACATCTGGGGTATCCTCCCGGTCAAGTCTCTTATGAACACGCGCAACGGGATTTCAATAACAGAATAGCTCACGATTTTGCGCATTCGTTTTTCATAGTTGAGGAAAATTCTTACGCAGATCCCACTGATCAGGTCTGTGTAGTACTCCGCTACGCTAAAACAACGCATCCCGATTCTGCGCCCCTGACAAAACGGCTCTGGGCTTGGCTTTTGCGGCAAAATCTTGGTGAACTTGCCGACACTTACGAAACCTACCGCCGAAATTTTCACAATCATCCGTTAATATATCAATTTCTGACATTGATTCCCCACAACGACGAAGCCAGAGCAGTAGCTTTTAAAGCTTTGGTGCCGTTTTTACCGATACACAGTTCTCCTGTTATTGGTATTTTTCCGACTTCGTCCAGGGAACACACATGCCATGTCGCGTACCACGATACGGATATCAGTTTTGACTGTAAATGCTTTACGAACAATGCCCTGCGGGCGATCGGTCAGGACTTCGTACTCCTTAACAGGAATCGAGAAGACGCAAAGGTTATTTCATCCAGAACGACGGACGTTTTTAACATTCGTTTTTGCGAAACGCGTAAAAATAATGGAAGATGTAATAAACCAACAGATGCCCGCGTCCTGTACCAGAAAGGTCGTCCCGTCTTCCTTTGTACCCAATGTCTCATAGCCGTCTACCGCCACCGAATGTGCGTTTGCGGTACGGAAGTGGTGTTGGCAGAATGCACTCCGCCGATGGTGGAGTGTATTCGCGGCCACAAATATCACGCAGAATGCGCTGTTAGCGACATATGTCCTCATTGCGCGCATTTGTTTCCAATGACGGAAAACGCTTCTACTGCGAGGAAGGACTCTGACAGTCCACCTCTTCTGGAAGCATATTCTGATTCCGACGCGGAATCTACCGTAACTGTGAATTTGGACGAAGAACCACAGAGAAAGGGGCTTACCGTCCACAACCCCGTATATACTCCGGCTAAACCAGGAAATCGGGAAGGTCTTACGAGCGATGACTCAGGACCAGAAAACGAGGCACCGCCGCCTCCAGTTCCAGCAAAAGGCATGCGCGCTGGTCTACCCAGCTTTGTGACACTTTCCGTTCTTCTTCTGCTCTGTACCTTGTCGGGTACTTCCGGACTGAACAAAAAGCTATGCGACTGCTTACGCAGTAAATACGTGGGAATCGCTGACCTTTCTGCGCTAATTCGGTGCGAGCAGTTAGACGGCCCCATCAGAGAAACTCATGACGTCAAGTACTATCTTCTCGACTATAAGAACATTACTCGAGTTTTCTCCGGCTCCGCTTGCCGTAGGATTATGAAAAGTACGATACAAGAAGGGTTTTTCTTCGACGGCTATTACAGCCAGAATTTTGAGGTAGCACTCCCGGTAACCGCTGATCAGTGCCGTGACATGGTCAGAACTAAGACATGTAGTGGAAACGCCATGACCAAAAGTGGACGTACTTGGTTATACGACGCAATACCTGTGGTTGACCGCCGGTGGAACCAATTCCGCCGTGCCGACGTCACTACCTGTCTCTTAGAGAACGTCACCCTCGAAACGACGTGTGACGACTGTCCAGTACTGTCCGCCACCGGCGAAATTTCTTCGTCTATTCTCGCCCAGTCCAGTGTCCATCCGCACGTAACCTACGTGTGGACTACCGACGAAAATCATACGAAGTGTCGCGCTAACACGGTTCTTAACAGCGAGGGACAGTTGTTCCAATTAAAATCAGGAGAGATCCACATTCGTGACCATCTCTGTCAACTCAGCTTTACGGTTGAAGAAAAAATGGAACGAACATGCGATGAAGGCGCATCTGTTCATTACGTCCGCTCCCATCCGACACTTCGCATAAAATTTTACCACGCTTGGTATCGTCCTAACGTCACTGAGAGAATCCGCCCTCCAGCTCGTCCCCCTGTTGGCATCCAAAGTCGGTTGAATGCAAATCGGTTGAATGCGGTTGAATTTTAGTACGCAATACAATTAACAGAGTTGGTTTTTCAACATAGATGCACACCAAAACCGAAATTTTGTTGATTTAGCCAAAGTGTTTCCAGTTTTTTCGAACCGTTGCGGGGGTTGCGTTGCTTCTTCGTTTGCCACTGTTGTTCCGTTCTGGTGTATTAAATGAAAAATCGGAAGGTTCAAAATCCAAATATGCTCTACGACGCTGCATATTCGGCAATAAGGTAGCCGGCGCATTGCAACTTTTCATCGCCTCCAATACTTCTTCTATTCCATTGGGAGGAGTTTGTGAAGGTCCTGGATTTGTAGGTGTAGTTAGCCAACGGATTAAATCCACAACGTTCGTTCCGTTTTTCAAAATTCCGTTTACTGCAAGTTCCAGGTTTTTCCCAATTGAAAAATTACCGTACTCTTGTAAGTGAGTAAGCAAATGGCGTGCGTTATTCTGCTGCTTCTCAGGTAGAAGAAAGACCACTCTATCTGTGCACTTATCGCTACCATGCGTTGCAGCATCAGTTTCGTCGAAAGGATGCTGCGCAGGATGCGGTTGCATAGGCAATGTGGCCTGTCCTATATAGTTGTTGTAACGCTCCATAGCGTCGCTATGAGCATTTAAACGCTGTCTGCTGGACATTGTCGGATTCTGCAGTGAGTTTGTCATATCTCGGTATGACTTGGTCAGTGGACTGGCGTAATAGTCCAAATGAGCATGCGTAGGCTGTACAGGTACAGGAGACAGGCTCCGTGATTTCCTGACAGCACGTAGCTGGTCTTCATTTAGCAAAAACATTCGTCGTGCCATTTTCAAGCGTTTCCAAGAACAAAATTTAGCACAGGAGGCAAAATTAAAGACAATAAAGCAAAACCTTTTGCTAACAGAAAATTTCGTTTAGTTTTTCGGGAAACAGACTTTCTAGACAGTAACTTTAAATAAGGTAATACACGTCGAACCCGTTGAGCTTTTGACGATTCAGAAACTGGAACCGTGCCTTCAACAATCTGAAGAGCACATTCAGAAATGGCGTCAATCAGTGTGTCTTCCGAATTTTTAATGATAGCTTTTGCAAGTTTCGGCTTGCTCTTAGCTATGGAGGACAATAAATCAATATTGGAAACGGTTTTACTTCGCTCCATTATGCCGGTATATAAATTTCGGTAAAACCAGGAAAATGCTCGCCAAAAATGGACGATTTCAGTCGATATCGATCGCTAATATTGTGCTGCAAATCAATAACTATATAACCAAAAGGCTTCTCGAAAGCGGCCGTGACGGCTTCCATAAAATAATTAGGTTTGTTAGGAAAAAGTTGACGTCCCAGGATTTGAGCTGCTGCCGGTCCTGAGGATTTTTAAAACAAACAATAACTTTTGCGTTTAGCCGTATATCGCGTCCACAACTCTGTTTAAAAAACAGATTTTGTGTCAGATAGATAACCGTTGTATTGGAATGACGTCCGCCGTTGCAAAATAATTGGGCAACGTGTTTGCTCGTTTTTTCTTCCAAGTGCAAGTCGTCAATCACGCAAACGTTAACTTGCTTTTTATCAAAAAAATTTGGTTTGGAAATTTCTTCTGGTAAACCCTCGATAAAAGTAATTGGAAATCCTTCTTTTAATAATTGATCATATAAAACCTGGTACTGCTTGTAAAACCAATAAACCCGTTCCGGAACTTGCGAGAGTTTATTGAATCGGAGAATATTTGCAACAAACGTGGTTTTACCAGAACCAGAATTCCCACTTATTAACATAGAAGTTGGGTGATAAAACACATCATTCAACTGCACTTCCATTATTACGTCCGAGAAGCAAACGACGTGATTCATTTAAAACGAACGAAATCAAGGGCATTATGATGTTGTGAATAGGAAATCGGTCCGTGACTCTTAAAACAATGACAGCAACTAAGCGGAACAGTTGAGAGAACACAAACGGTATGGCGTAAAATAGAGCCCATATGAGAATTCCACGAGAGTTCTTTTCCTCTACGGGAATCGGTGGTGGCGTTTCAGGATCCATGATTTCTATAAATAAAAATTGAAAAATTAAAAAATAGTTTTCAAACAAGAAATTGTAAACTAAATTTGCACAACAAAAGCTTACCAGTCGTGGTTGATCAGTTGGCATCGTCAAAAATGAGTAAGTCAGCCGGCTTTCCGTCAAACTCGTCGCCCCAAGATGGATGTACCGGTGGTGTAAACCCGCCAATAGTGTCTCGTTTTTCTTCCCCCAGATCGCCTGGTTGAGTGAAAGGAACGCGCCCTTGTTCCAGTTTTTTCAGCTTTTCGAATTTATCCACACGTTGATAGAAATAGTCGAATTTTGGTACGGGAGGACCGATATCGTCGTCGTCATCACATATACCAGTGCATGTCTCATTCCAAGCCTTGACACCACTACCGTCTGGGCACTCAAACGTAATAACTTGCTGGATACGATAGCCGACACTGGGGCAGGCTTTGCGCCATTTCTTGATTTGATACTTCAAATAGTTCCGCATACGACCATGTGCCAAATCACGGACAATAGGGCGCCATTCTTTCCAATTTTCCTCTGTGCACTTAGTTGGATTCTCACGGAAGGCGATATTAGTCCCCTTTTCCTCTTTAGGATACAGTGCAAAGGCTACTTCTCCAAGCGGCTGTTGATGAAACCATGTTTCCTTAACAAACTGCGCTCTAACGCCAATAGTAAGGTCAGGATAATACTTCTGAGCGTCTTCAAAACGGGCAAACAGATCCCTATAAACTCCTTGTAGCATATGAACGTCGTCCTGCTGAACAGTGCTGTAGTATACCACGCCGTTTTTCATCATACGCTCCCCAGTTCCTACCGGGAACAGCGCGTTAGCGGCATTTTCTAAAGACATTTTCGAACTCGCGCGAAATTAAAGGTAAATGTATTTTCAGAAACTGTATGCGTATCTGTGAATAACTACGTCAACGCGTCCGAGTCAAATGCGTGTGCGTCTTGTCTGAATGTACATTCGTAGTCAGTATGCTGCTAACTAATCGTTTTGTTGCAGATGCCCCGCCTGTTCACCTGTCTGCTTGTACTGTCAGTGGCCAGCAACGTCGTCGGTGTATTAACGCGCTGCTTTGGCCACTGTCAGTGCGAACGTATGGAAGGCGTGGTCAACTGTGCCGGCCGTGACTTGACCACAGTGCCTACACTTCGCTCCCCGGAAAAGTGGGTACAGATTGTCTTGTTCCAGAAGAACAGACTGTACGGCGTCCCATACACCGCGCTAGCCCACTTTTTCCCACGGCTGCGGCTGTTTGATGTCCGTGGAAATCCGATCCTGGATTGTCGTGAGCCTCCGACCGTAAACTTTACGGTCTTGTCAGACTGCGGCCGGCTCCCTAGCACTGCCACGACGACGGTGGCGCTGAACACGACTGATTCGGGCACGGGTATATCGCCCAGCAGCGCTGCGACATCCATTGCCACCGACCATGGTCCTGTTCCAATGACCAAGCCGCCGGCCGAGGATCCCGACTCAGCGTTTAGTGCGCCCAATGTGGTGTACGCCATCATCGGTGTGCTTGCGTTTATCGCGGCCATATCCACTGCCGTGGTGATAGTTCGACGCCGTTGCACCGTGGCTCCTCTGGCACAAGCTCTAAGCAACGAGAGCAATGAAATGTCGGTGATCAATGAGCATACCGACTTGTAAATACTGTACATATGATTTCTTGTACAAATTAATTCTGATTTTGTATATACTTGTTTCTTTATAGATTCTGTATTTTGACTCTTTGATGTCTGTTCTTCCATTTTTTGATGATGTGATCTTCTGTTTTTGTGATATGTTGCGTTCTGCGGTGTAAAAAACTTGTTATTGTACAGATTCTGCTGAAATAAAAGTTCGATTTTGGTTGGCATTACATACTAGTTAAAGTATTCGTAGATCAAGTTGCTTACCAAATTCGAAATTTTACACTATTCATATATACTGTACTCATATACAGCAATTATGGTACAGGATGGTTTAGAGCAGGTATTCGGTGCAATTTGTTTGTTAATGAGTATTAGTATCTTTTTGTTGAAGATGGATGATTCCATGGAGATCCCGGAGCTGCTGCCCGTCTCAACTGGGCTACCCCGTACCACACCCCCATCGTCTACGGAGCATGTGATCCGTCGTAAGATTGGTAAACCACTGACCACGGACATCGGGGACAGCGACTCCTCCGACGAAGAAGGGAATGCCACTCCACAGCCCAAAGCCGGCACATCCGGACACAGTGAGCACGACACTCCCGCACAGACCGGAGACGAGGCGTCGATGAGGTACAGTACGCGGTGCAATAACTTCCAATTGTGCAAATGAAATATTCGAATTTGGTAGTCACTGTGCATAATGCGGTACGTTACAGCAAGTTAGTGCTAACCAAATTCGATTTTTTTTTGTAGCACACTGGCGGCCGTGAACCGTATGATAAGCACGGTTCGTACTCCAACGGCTGATAGTGTGGAGCTAGCCGGCGATGAAGGAGCAGACGAAGCGGACGCGGCAGCCAACCGGGCGGATTTGGAGGAAATGGGTGTTGGAGAGGAGCCCGAGGCCGGTATGGACGCCGCTGTGGAGTCGAATGCCGCGGAATCTGACGAAGATGCACTACATAGTAGTGCCAGTGGTACGACTGCTGAATGTGGTGCGCGTGCAGTGAGTGCAGCTGGCTCGTCGACGCGTGCGCCGGACCCGGACCGCATTTTGACCCGTCGACTTGGACGCGAAGCCATGCGGAAACTTCGCGAACGAATGAATTCTGTTGAGTTAATTTGCGGTCGCATGGCATTTCAGCGCCTCGTGCGGGAGATCATGGAAAGCATGCGCCCGGACTTTTCAATCCACTCCGCTGCGCTATTTGCCTTACAGGAAAAGACGGAGTTCCTCTTTATTAAGATTTGCGAGAAGGGCGCCGCAGCGGCTGATCATGCACAGCGCGTGACCGTGATGCCGCGGGATCTTGACCTTGCTCAATATGCACGGGAGCAAAACTGGCGCAACGATCCCCGGTTCAGTCCAGAAGGTGGCATTAATAAATATCGGAACTATCAGAAGCAGCGCCGCCAAAACCTGTATGTACCAGCTGCCGCACCACAGCGTTCTGCAACGGCCGTAGCCGTGAAACCAACCGGCCACGCTGGGTGGAAGCGTCCTTTGGCGCTGGAGTCGTCTGACGAAGATGAAGAAGTCGCGCCGATCCCGACCAGTCCGACTCCGTGTAGGTATTCTACTGCGTTTACTTCTTAATTATGCACAGAACTGTTTTGTAGGCACGCGTGGACGTGGTATGCAGCCTGCACGGGCCATTCGTGGGCGTGGAAAAGGTGTGTCGACCCGCGGCCGTACGGCTGCCGCTGAAGTGCAGCGCACTCGATCCCCAAGTAGAGCCCCGGGAACTGCCGTCTGCTCGCGCGGGGTACGACGTGGACGTCCAGCACGTGGAGCGCGTGGATCTCGCGGTACACGAACAACCGCACCGGTTCATCGACGAACACCGAGCCCAACCCCACCGCGCTCTGTTCAACCAGGTACCGTATTCTGAGTACAAATACTATACCATGTACATACGCATAACTTTGCATTCATGTGTTTAGCAGTGCGTCGTGGTGCCGGGGGTGCAAAACGTATCTGCCTGGGACGGCCTAATGGGGTGAATCCCAGCCAGCCGCCAACGCCACATCCACAGCCCCGTATAGCCATCGGCCCGCCAGGTTCAGCGTGCTCACCATCGTTCTTGGCAAGTCGCCGAGGTAAGGCGTTGAACGCGTACACACACTTAAGCAAATGTACATTCTATGGGTTGTTAACACTTGTAGCGTATGACCGTGCGATAGCGGCGCACCGGCGTCGCTTCGCTGAAGAACGTGCTGCACGTAGTGGACAGCGCCCAGCCGCTGCGCAAGATCCTTCGTCATCATCGTCTTCGGCATCGTCTGACCAACCAAGCAACGGTACTTTATTTTTACAACTTTAGTGTATAACGGAGCCGCATTTATTTATGTTTTCAGCCAGCATTGATTTCATCCGGCCCCGTGAAGCGGAGGGTCCCGCCGAGGGTATGCAGTTGTTGGGTGGCGTTCGGAAGCCAAACGGTGTTGTTGTTGCTGTGGACGGCAACATAACTCGCGTGCCAGCCGGCGAGATGACTGCGAAGCAGTTCCATAATCGACAACGTTTGTTCTAACCTGTACGCGTTCCACTACCTAATTATTTAAAGAAAATGTCACCGCTTTAATTTTCACTAATATTTGTACTGTTGGCAGGACGTTGAGTGGAACAGCGATGTGGACGGAACGCGGAATTCGGAATGAGTGGATGCCTAAATGTTTTGTTTTTCTTCGTTAATGCATCGGAGTGGTTGCAGTGTCATTTGTTTTCTTGTTATGTGTACGCGTGGTGGTAGGGATGATTTGTTTTTGTTATACGCGCGGTACGGGGATAAAATTGTTTTGAATGGTGTATACGTGGTACGGGGGTGATATTTTGCAAATGTGGTACGGGGATTGTTTCATGTATTTTGGTGACCGGGATAAAGCAGCGGGAATTTTTTCAATAAAGCAGATGTACTGTAGTATTTTTTATTTCGTTAATTAAATAAACTGTAAATTAGCCATTGTTTACGCTAATGAATTACGTAATCTAATTAAATTAGTATAAATTACGTATACCTATTGTTTAAATTAAATTAAATTTAATTGTATAGTTAATTGCCGGCAGGTGTTACTGCGCGGCCCCCTGGGGTGTTCCTGGCACTCAGTGGCTGCTCATTCTACTAGACAGCAACAGCATCCTGACATCCAACGCGCCGCCGCTCCCGGCCGACCTCACCGCACTCAAGATGTCTACCTGGAAGGTTTCGCTGGCGAAAACAAAACCAGCATCCTAATTAAGCGATTCGTCGACAACTTTAAAGAGCAGCTACAGACCTTAGAGGTCCAATACAGCAAGGTCGGTTCCCTGGAAGACGGTTTCCTGCAGGGATTTTCGCAACTGCGGCGCCTGGATTTCACCGGGAGTGACATTTCTCATATTAGCAAGATGGCCTTCTAACGAGAAACATCCGCGCCAGGGCTATTTATCCAACTACAATCAAACCGGCTGGAGAGCATTGACTGGGCCGTCTTTCAGCCGATTGCCGAAATGGGCGTAGATTGCCAGTAGCTTCTACGGTGTCTTATGCCATAGGTAGAACTTCTACCTATAGCATAGGACAAAAGAATGGATGTTTCGTTTTCGCGCATGCTACGCAAATTAGTGCTTGACTGTTCGAGGTTTTACATATACAAGCTGATTTCCGTATTTTTCGGTCCTACAATTTTTCATTTCCACATGTGCGTACTCTGTGTTGTTGCAGATGCTGGAAATGCGCTGGCAGCGTCCCGGATTGAAATTTATCAACTGCTCTAGTAATTTCCGCATCACTAAACCCAGTTCAACACGTGTACTTAGGCAATAACCAGCTGGAGTTTTTGCCAAAATGCATGCTAGACACCTTTAACGTCAACACCATAACGTGGAGAATAACGATGGACGTGGAGAACAATCCCTTCTGCCCGACGGACGCCATGTGCGGTTGCCCCGCGATGCAGCCGTTTCTCTGCTTGGCCGGCGATCGTGCCCTGCTGGGCAGTCCGTTATTGTTCGTCCAAAACTTCACCTGCGGCTCGGCATCCAATCAGAGTTTGTGGCATTCGAACCATTTGCCGCCCAACGTCGTTTGCTCGAACGCCGGGCGGTTGCTGTGGCGGACCAGTTGGATGCTACTAGTTGCAGCACTGCTTTTCGACGTTTTTTGCCAGGATGTCTCTTATTTGTAACTTTTGCATTAGCGGAAATCGTGTGTGACAAACTTTGCGCTTCGAAACTGGCGCAAGCGTAAACAGCAAAGAAAATTACCAGAGAATTTTAAATTTAAGAAAAGAACAAGTTTTCATTAACAGAACTGCAACGAACAAACGCAGTGCCATTATTTTTCTCACTGCTAGTGATTTTACCAGAGCAGAGAAACCTTGTATTGGTCCCCTTAAATGGTATTTTGCCGGTTACTGATCTTGTGCAGCCATACTGCTTGCGCCATCGATCGACTGCATGGGTTAATTACACTCAGCTGTAGGTACAGTTGCGGTGTTACCGGCTCCTTGTTATCCGTGATGGTCCGTAAGGCTGCGTGTTGCCGTTTTATCAGCTTCTCCTGTTCTCCCAAATACGGTGCCGACTATGCCATAGCACAGTAGTCTATGTATGGCTGGACGAAAGCGTGATGGAGAGTGGATCTCTGGGATTCGCTGAGACCGGACGTGACGCGACAGATCTTTTGGATTCCCGTGAATTTGTATTTGCCGCTGTGCCGATACGGTACGGAGCCATCTTTAACTTGTAATCAATCAGCGCTAGCAAAATAAATGGCTGCAGTGAAGTGTTCACAAGCGATCGTTTACCGCAGACGTGCCGGGCCCGGGCTGCAGCTATAGATCGACAGGCAACACAACCCTCTACTGTCCCTCCGTGGTCATCCCCGGTACCTTTGACGTCACCAAAATCCGTAAAGATGTCCGGGAAATTCAATTCGGTACTACCGCAAATGGCAATATCCTCCGCTCCGATGCGCCGCCGCTGCCGGGCGACCTCACCGCATTGCGAACGGTGTACTTCTTCGGATTCACTAACGAGAACAACGCAGCATCGCCGCTAAGCGTTTTCTCCATAACGTCCAGGGCCAGCTCGTTAGTTTGAAGATCGGCCGAAGCAAAATCGGTCACCTGGAGGACGGCTTCCTCGAGGGATTCTCGCAGTTAACGGAACTGGATTTCGGAAATTCCGATATTTCCTCCATCGGACCAGCGGCGTTCCAACGCAGCGCGAATCGCTCGTTAGCGACGATGAGCGTCATCTTAACCGGGAACCATCTCGTCAGCCTCGACTGGACCGTTTTCAAGCCCTTCTTTACAACATCATTGGTACGTCAGTGTACAGACCTTCCCAATACTTACTATAGTGTGAGAAGGACTGGTAACCAACCCTTTGACGTCATCTCTCTTGCATACGCGCGAGGGCGGCTGCCATGGAGGGAGATGCGCGGCGTTTTTCACCGTTTTTGTCAGTTTCCTCAGCAGATTTCTATTTATAGCCCCCCGAAACTGAGGTGTCTGTATTCAATATGATCTTTTAAAATATCAGAAAGCTGTTGATGAGAAAGAAGCGTCAGAATATCTTTTAAAAGGGACAAAAAGTCTGTGGGACTATGATAAGCATTAGCGCAGCAGTGTTTTCTGTATGCGACAGTGATGACGTAGTCGACCGTTGCGCAGTCCGTTCCCAGTCCTTACAGCTGTAATAAGTTCTTGATTTTTTAAAGTAACTGATATCATCCTTATCCTAATGGCGTTCTCGTCTAGTCAGTGAGACTGGACGGGCAAGTGCCGGCGCTGCAATTCCTCTACTGTTCCGCGCCCTACGTCTTGACGCAACCGATCGGTACGGTGTCACTGAGCCGGAACGGTTTGGAATCCATACCGGAATGCGTTCTCCGTTCGCTGGGCTACAACGTCCTCAGCAGTCTGAGCGTGGACAATAACCCTTTCTGCCCGACGGACGAAATGTGCGGCTGTCCGGCGCTGACGATCTTTCTTCAGTATGCCTGCCTGTTCAAGATCAACGGAGGCACCCAGGTGTCCGGTCAGAACTTCACATGCGGCACCGCGCCCAATCAGCGCTCGTCGACTTGGCACGATCTGCCGCCCTATGCGCCGGCGCCCTGCAACAGCGGCGTACAACTGCTGTTGCATACATCTTGATGGATCGTGCTGGCTGTCGCTCTGTCTACACGCTTATAAAGCTACACGCTTTCAACTAGCTGTGAACCCTGTGCTCTTCGTGATTTGGCAAATGTTTTTTGGATATTACTAATACTTCAAAAAACCAATTGAATAACATCAACCAATACCTTCAGGTGAAGATCAAACACTGGTCTAAGGTGCAGATACCGGTGGAACCTTCTGTCTGATAGAAAACAACATAAGATACCGGTAGTACATTCTATGAAACAATAAACCAGGGTTCCACACAACTAAGCGGCAATGCATTACAAAATAATAAAGAAATTATGCATTAAAACGACTGTGCTACAGCCGTACAGCGTGACATGGTGCTGCGTACGCAACAATTTGCTTAAGTTGAAAAAGAGTTTGGGTCATCAGTGCAGTGAGGTTCACAAGAATTAAGACGATACCGGGTCGCCGATTCGCAGGCTGAATTTGCTGCCCTAGACTTTAAGGTCGTCCCTCACGTAAAAGGACAACTTTTAGTAAAAGTACAGCTTAGGACAAAATGGTCGCATACCCAACATCTCCACATTCAGCACGCATGCAGCGCAGTACACTGTACGAGTGAGTTCAAAATATCCGTTTCGTACAAGTGCACTGCACCGCTTGCGTACAGAATGCTGGGTATGGGGCTATGCGACCATTTAGTCCTACATTGTAAGAAGCTACGAGCGGATTTGGTATATTGAGCAGTCGGCCTAGATTTTCGAATGACACCGATGGTTATGGTACCTTTCTTCGTCAATAATTTTCATTAGGTTTCACCAAAGCCGGCTATTTGTTCTCCGAAAAAGCGCCGAATCTTCTGTTATCCATAGATTATTGTTAGGCTGTAACCGCACGCGGCATTTAGCTCCAGAGCAACCAGCAATTGCGCATCTGAACGCATTGTTAAGAACGTCGTCGTTTTATCAGAAAGATGGCGATCCCTTCGAGGAGCGCCACACCCGCCAGAACCCCGATGACGATCCCGGTGATCTCCCCGCCGGACAGTCCTTCGTCCACCGGCGCCGCTGTCGTTGTCGGATGGACCGAGCCGAACTCGCATTTCCGTCCTGTGTTCTCACCGTTCACGAACAGCGAGAACTGGAAGGCATGGCAGCAAGGATAATTGTAAAGAAACATGCTGAATACTGACGTCCCGTTAACCGTGTTCCATAGAGTCGACGAGCTGCCCGTGGCGTTTTGCGAATAAGGGCCGGCTTGGACATTTTCTGCTACAAAGAAGCGTTGAACGTCCAGGAAGCCGCTATTGGGATCGATGAACACCAGGGTCGTGTTCCAGGTGCCTTGGGCACACTGGGGACCTTTCGGACAGTTATTATAAGACGTTACGTCCGCGGTGCATTGCAGTGGAGGGGGTGGGACGTCCGGGATCAGGACCATCGGGCGCACTACGTGATTACCGAGGCCGGCATCCTCGTCCAGGCGATCCTTGCCCACGCCGAAGGCCATGTAGTTAACGCTGGAATTGGCGCTCAGCGGAACGGTGATGCTGTTCGTCTCGCCACTTGGGTGCGCTATCGATGAGTTGAAA